GTGGAGTGTCCTCCATTTGGAGGCACAAAATATGGTAACCCTAGTCTAACACAGACCTCCATTCAACCAAAATTTCAGCACCCCTCTCCTCCTATGTAAAGATGCGGCAGATCGCAATAACTATCTGAGGTTGTCTCCCCCAAGAAGTCTTCCAGCAAAAGCAGGGATACCAGATTTGATATTCCTGATATATCTAAGGTAAACATGAGCAGAAAATACTAAGAAACTCCAAACCTTTCTCACCTATTGTGTCCACCATAAAGAAGCACAAAAGGACACAAACCCAATTTTAAAAAATCGTCTGCAGTGCTGTCAAGCTTTTTCTGCTTTCCCCCTTCAGTTCTGCTCAGTATCTACCTGCTGCTGTATATTTAAACTGAGTGAAATGCAAAGTCAGATCTGGAGAAGTCAGCCTTGGATTTCATTAGCTTGCTCAGAGACAACAAAACAAAAATAGGAAGTCTAGTGTTTTCTGCCACCCCCAGATTCTTGCTGTGTTGAGAGACTAGCTCATTAAGGCTGAATGCCAAGGTGAAAATAATTCCACATTTCTTTTTTACAAATTCGAATTGAATGCAATGTTGGTGAAAGGTTCCACATTGACAGCCCTGGGGGACTGAAGGTCTCTGTTTGGCTGTGTGCTGTACAGAGCAGGAAGAGCATGGGTCAAAGCTATTCAAGTCTTCCCCATACACTGCTCCGCAGCTGTGCAAATCACCTCCGACCCAGAAGGAGCCCTCTAGGATGGGAGGGTAGTACAGTCAGCCTGGTCAATTCAATCCTTGACCTCCCTGTTCAGAGTGCTGACAAGAAGGCCAATTAGTGTGATGAGTTTGTATGTGATGTGGGCAGCTGTCCATAGCAACTAGACTAAAACCGCCAACTCATTTCAATAATACCACTAACCAGCTATCAGATGGTTGTGATTGTCAGTCACTCCTGACCTAGACTGGATCTGAATTAGCATCCTAGACAGGTAAAGGCTTTGGCCCAGATTCACAAAGGTACTTGGGCACCTAACTCCCATTAATTTCACTGGGAACTAGGCACTTAAGCAGCTTTGTGAATCTGGGCCTTTATATCCCATTCCCAAGTCTCTGAGCAACCCACTTCCCTCAGATGGTGCGTTCCTTCCATGCTGTTTAAAATACAACTTGTCTGGGGGGATGCCTCTGGAATAGGATGTCTTCATTTACATTTACACCAACGTGGGTTTCAGATCATCTTTGAAGTTCACGATGGGCTGAGGCCTGCCATAAAGCTTTGCCCAGTGGGCTAGGAACCCGCCAGGCTCTGGGTCTGTGTCAGTGGTGCAGCTGTCACTGGAGTCCCCAGGGCTGTGGAAGCAGATTTCACAGTGAGGCCTGTGGCAGCAGCTGAACGTCTCCTCCGAGCTGCTACTGGAGTCAGAGTCTGGATAAAGGCACAGGGAGGGCACAAGGGGTTGTTCCAGGTCCCTCCCAGCATCCCCCTGCTGCTGCTGGAGGCTGCGGGGACTGGAGGGATACAGCAGAGCATTGTAGTTCTTCACTTGGGCAGAGCCTTGGTGTTTGTTTGAAACTTGGCCGTTCCCTTCATGGCTTTGTTCGTCAGGCCAGTTCTTCCTATGGTTCAGCTGGAAGCTGCACATTTTGTCGATGACTGATGAGGAGGGTGATGGCTGATAGAGGAACCTTCCATCACTGGTGTCACCTGCTTTATCCAGAGATGTTTGTGTTAATCCATGACGGCTCCAAGTGCTCTGTCTGCTCTGTGTCCTGCTGACTGCCTTGTTTGTGAGACTCCACGCTTGTGGGGTCGTGGACGCAGGAAAGCAGGTGGAAGGTGGATGGACTGGGATTCTTCTTCTTTGCCGTCTTGTCCTGTAAGGACTAAGGTAAGTGCAGATGCCTGTGTAACTCTCCCAGGATCTCCAGGCTGCACTCTTTTCATGTTCTGCATTGTGGCTGGGTTGCCTAGGCCCCCTGGGTGATGCCTGGGCACTAACTATGCCGCCAATGCTCAGCTCTTGCAAGATTTCCTGCAACTTTTCACTGACCTTTGAGGGCTGCTCTTTGGTTGCTGCTGAGCTCTCTGGTTGCTCTGCTCTCCCATCAACTGCTGAGAGATTCTGGCTCAATGGTATTGGTGGATTGTCGATACATTTCTTGTTGTTTGGAGGCCTCCATTGCTCTTGGACATCCTTAGAGCTGTATTTGGAGATGTCCATAGGGTTACAAAACAGTGCCTCATAGCAACTA